ATAAGAAGGGGAAAACCATGAACCATGGAAGACAAAACAATAAAGTTGTGATTTTTGTACATCCCATTTAATGAACTGGTGTTATTATCATCTATTCTTGAGAGCAGAGACTATTTTCTATTAATCTGTTCATCCTCTGTATCTCCTATGGTGCCTAAGCCATCATAATGTCTCTAAAAAATAAATTAATGGTTTCCTTTTATTTTTCTTTGAATTCTGGATGGACAATCCTGTTATATCTACTCAACAAACAGAATGTTTCTGTGCTCTTTTGTGGAGAGCTAATTTTAATTTTTCCTCATTTTGAAAGTATCAGTTGTCTACTTGACTATATTTTAGTCGAGATAACAACAATAACTGGTTGGATACAGTTTCTTTTGGGGGAAGATTGATGGGTTTAAAGCTACGGTTCTCATTGGGTGCATATCAGAATGACTGGGGCGGGGGGCTTTGGAAAAACTCCTGTGCCTAAACACATAGAGTTTAATACAGCTGGTTGGTAGGTGGTGAGCATCTTCACAGACCTTCTTTGTGAAGATCTTAACCAAGGGCTAAGAATCACTGGTTTGAAGATACAATCAGGGCTGGACATTGCGGCTCATGCTTATAATCCCAGCTCTTTGGGAGGCCAAGGTGGGGAGGATGATTTGAGGTCAAGAGTTTAAGACCAGCCTGGGTAACGTAACAAGAATCCATTTCTACAAAAAATAAAATAGTAAGGCTTGGAGATCTAGCATTGAGCCTTTCTCACAGGACTACCGCTTTACCTCCATCCTCTTTCAGCTACCCAGCTATATTGAGGTGAAGAGAAGATGCTTACAAAATACTTGGAATAAAAGGAAACACTGTTGCTCCCTCAAAGTTAAACAGCAATTCAACAAGCTAAAGAATGAGACATGTTTCCTGGATCACAGAAACTATTTAATTAAAGAAAGAATATCTTGACTGGAAGGCAGGATTGTCTTGGACTAGGTACCCCCAAAAAGGCAGAGTATCAAAGAAAGGCTTTTATGGAAACCATTCACTCTGGGAAACGATCTCAGGGAACAGAAGCGGAACTGGGGAGAGTGAAATAGGGAAGGAGGTAGAACCAATTCAATTCTGTTTTGTTATTGAGCTGGTCACTGCTGTGGGCTTATTATAAGGGTTCAGTTCTGCTGGGGATCCTTTGAGGAACTATGCAGAATATGCCTCAGAATAGATCGTGTGAAGGACCAAAGAGGGGAGTATTTATTCCTCATTAGCCAAAGTTTTCCCTGGAATGTTAACTTCCTTGAACTTCCAGGTTTGCTCGTGTATTGGAATGGCCGCTGAGGAAGGTGCTGGTGTCAGCTTGCACATCTGGTTGCTGCGTCAATGTCTGGAGTAAAAAGATGGGCTGAAAAGATGCAGTGGTGCCCAAGATTTGTCATATATAGGGGCCAATATACAGCTTAAAAGAGTTTTGTTGAGAAAAGCACAATACGGCACTTTTCTTTTTTCCTTTGTCCAGGGGCGAGAGATGTTGAATCTTAAGAAAATAATCTGTTTATGTTATGTCTCATGGATATTTTAGTTATAAAGAGAACATCCCAATTTGGGATCTTCTCAGGCTGCACAACTGGTGTAAATCCCAAATGGGATAAATCTCCTCTATTGGTAAGATCTCATGTTGGAAAGGTGTCTATGAAACACTGAGTGCTTGCTGTGCTTGGGGTTCCCTTTTTAAAAAGGGGTCTTTGCAGAAAGGTCACCTAATTTTTTGATCCTACCACCCTGGCCACAACCAACTGGACTAGGGTTGATTCCTGAGTCAAAGCCCTCCATGAGTAGCTGGTGGTCCATGAGTTGGCCTGTCTGAAAGCCTTTCTATGACAGCGGGGAAGACAAAGTGGACACAAAGAGATAGCAGGCTAAGTCACAAGAGTGGGAGCATAATGCCCAAATCTGAGAGGGTGACAGTAGTGGCTACTGTGTCACTTGACCTACTGAGGCATCTCAATAGCAACGACCAATGCTACAGGATACCATGACACTTGACTGAACAACAGTGGGGCTGATCTCCCCTACTTCCTCTAGTTTTTCTATGGAAACAAATTGTATTTAACTAACAAAGACATATTTCCTCTGCCCACATTCACCTGCCCTCCAATATACTTCCTTTCAAACTTCAACTCTGCTTGTCCCCAGTTACCTAGTCCTCTGTCACTGCATACCTGTTAGGTTCTTGTCTTCTGGCCAATTTGTTAGGATCCCTTTGCTTCCTTATTAGCCTTGGCTCCAAATTAAGAAAGATAAGTCCTACATGAAAGCAAGGGTAGTTTTCTCACTGGCTCCTCATTTCAATAATGGAGTAACTGTTGTAACCAAATAGAATAATCTAGAATATTCTGGACTCCAGGGGAATGTATAGATGACTTGATGAAACATGTTGGTGGGTTTTTGTTATTGTTTGTTTCCCGTTAATTTGTTTGTTAAGTGCTGAGGAAGACTCATCTGAGTTGAAAATTCTCCTGACAAGTGATCTTAATGACATTCAGCCTGTGAATACCAGAAGCCAAGCTCCTGTATTGGAAATAACTGATCTAATTAGATCCTGCACTTACCCTGGACTGTTACTTTCTGATGTAATTGCTCTTGTCATTTCTGTTGAGACCACATGATGACTCACTGACAAGTCATATACCACTCCGGCAGAATGGCATTTCAGCCTTTGGCCTCCAACCCC